GACGACAATATACGTCCACATGAAAATGTGGGCGTATAAAAATGTCTCTCTCGGCCTAGCTTCCAACAGCTATTTAACTTTAAAGAAAAAAACAAACAAAAACATACCAGAATGCAGCGGAATCAAACACGTCTGTCGTCGACACAATTCAAGTCAAGAGTGAATAAATGCTCAACTCACGCATGCGCATAAAATCACTGAGACTATGACAAAATTAAGAAAACTAGTCGTAAGTTCCACGTGCATTACATTTTAGTAACCACGTGTTCACAAACTGGCATTCATTTTGTGTAATGTTGTGAAACGATTCGGACGACGAAAATATGGCTGAAAAAGAAAACGTAGATTCTGACAAAGAATTATTTAAAGCTAGTCAAAGTGCAGAATTTATGCAGAAAATATTTATCAAGGATTTAATGTACTCGGATATTTCGGATTGTGAGATACAAATGATAAACGATTTTTAATTTCGAGTGACAAGTCGTCAGTGAATGTGCAAACAATACCGTGCACATAAATACCTTACGCAGAAATCAGTGGGCTGTGAACTTTTTTAACAGTTGGTCAGTGTGACGGAATAATAAACACGATATAAATTTAGCGCAGCCTTTGGATTTATGAGAAGGAACTAATCAATTTGAGGTACAAATCTCTTGCATATTCTAATTCTGGTTCGGCATATTCAATTTCTTTCAACTGATTTCAACAACATAGGAAAAGGTACTAATCAATTTGAGGTACGAAGTGAGGTACGAATGAACTAAGTACGAAACAGCCAGGTTACGAAACCGCCTGCACCCCTTGGAACAGACCGGACAAAAAAGAGTTCAAAAATGATCCGCGACAAACAAAACAACAACCACTGCCGGATGAATATAAGGAAAACATTTAATTTGTAAAACTGAAAAAATGGCGCGTATCACGCACGTGATTCTAAAATGTCGTTGTATATGTATGACTCTCCTAGCCAAGTTCATAGCCTCCGGCTCTCAAAGCCCAGCAAAATAAAGCTTCCCACAGCCATCGGGACTATAACCAGCGGCTGCCAGGCAGGATACGCCCACATTTTCGAGAGATGGATAGAGAACAAGCTAAAAAGAAAGTGATTTTTCCTACAATCAAGGGCCATAATTCAGGAAATTACAATTCGATATGCGCAAATATCGAAATGAACCGAGATCTTTGGGTTATAAACTTACATTTCAAGTTTCAACAAAATCGGATAAAAATTGTGACCTCTATAGGGTCCACAACCTTGATTTACCATATTTTTACGCTATTTGAGAACGAACAGCGGCCATTTTGTCGGTCAATTTTGGGCCGATTTACACGAAATTCGAACCCAGCCGCCCTTACGGGTCCACAAGCTAAAAACGCGATTTTTCGTTCAATCAGGGGTCATAATTCAGGAAGTTACGGTCCGATATGCGCGAATATCGAAAGGAACCGAGATCTTTGGATTATAAACTTAGATTTCAAGTTTCAACAAAATCGGATTAAAATTGTGAACTCTATAGGGTCAACAACCTTGATATACCATATTTTTTACGCTATTTGAGAACGAACGGCGGCCATTTTGTCTGTCAGTTTTCGGTCGATTTTCACGAAATTCGAACTCAGCCGTCCTTAGAGTGTAACGGTGATATAATAATGCGGTTTTTTTTTCAAATCGGATAAAAATTATGACCTCTATAGGGTCCACAAGCTAAAAACGCGATTTTTTGTACAATCAGAGGCCATAATTCAGGAAGTTACAGTCCGATATGCGCGAATATCGAAAAGAACCGAGATCTTTGGGTTATAAACTTACATTTCAAGTTTAAACAAAATCGGATAAAAATTGTGACCTCTATAGGGTCCACAACCTTGATATACCATATTTTTTACGCTATTTGAGAACGAACGGCGGCCATTTTTTTCTGCCAGTTTTCGGTCGATTTTCACGAAATTCGGACTCAGCCGTCCTTAGGGTGTAACGGTGATATAATAATACGGTTTTTTAAATCGGATAAAAATTATGACCTCTATAGGTTATGTGGGCGTATAAAAATGTCTCTCTCGGCCTAGCTTCCAACAGCTATTTAACTTTAAAGAAAAAAACAAACAAAAACATACCAGAATGCAGCGGAATCAAACACGTCTGTCGTCGACACAATTCAAGTCAAGAGTGAATAAATGCTCAACTCACGCATGCGCATAAAATCACTGAGACTATGACAAAATTAAGAAAACAAGTCGTAAGTTCCACGTGCATTACATTTTAGTAACCACGTGTTCACAAACTGGCTTTCATTTTGTGTAATGTTGTGAAACGATTCGGACGACGAAAATATGGCTGAAAAAGAAAACGTAGATTCTGACAAAGAATTATTTAAAGCTAGTCAAAGTGCAGAATTTATGCAGAAAATATTTATCAAGGATTTAATGTACTCGGATATTTCGGATTGTGAGATACAAATGATAAACGCTTTTCAATTTCGAGTGACAAGTCGTCAGTGAATGTGCAAACAATACCGTGCACATAAATACCTTACGCAGAAATCAGTGGGCTGTGAACTTTTTTAACAGTTGGTCAGTGTGACGGAATAATAAACACGATAGTGAGCGAAAAAATTTTTGTGCGCTGGAAGATATGAGGATATAAGATCGTATTTTATGGATGTCTAGATTCGTCTCGGAAGTAAGCAAACTAAAATAATGAATATTACCCACCGAATTCCGTATTTAGTTATGGGAATAGTTTACACATTTTCCGGATTATGAATAAAACTGATATAGATATACTACTACATACTCCAGAATTTGAGTTTCAGACAAGTTCTTGATGGTCAGATGAAGAAGATAAGTAACATGGGCCTGGCAAAGTTCGTCTTCCGAATCGTTTGACAACATCGTACAAAAAAGTGAATAAAATGTTAAAAGAAAGAATTTGTGTCCCTTTTCATTGCAGAGTGATGTAAACCTGTTGTGAGATCATCAGAGGGTAATATCTGATATCGTCCCTAGGGCCGAAATCGGATATCGCCCTCTGATGACCTCACAACAGGTTAATACGTTTCATCATGGGAGATCAAAGGAAATAACATCCCAAGGTGTGTAAGAGTGAAAAATTCCCATTAACAGCTTGGAAACAATCGAAATAGGCCGCCGTTTCGTGAATTCGTCTCCTATTTCCGAAATTAATACATTTCTGGTTAGCCTCCTTCCAAGAATGGCTGGTGACTTTGGAATCGATTTATTTATGTTTTACGATTCCGAAATCACCGAATTTACTGATGAAAAAAATGACCCACTTAGCTGTTTGACGTATTTTACTAATTCGTTTTACTTTAAGTACCTTGAAACATTTACTTTCAATCTGCTATTTTCGAATTTCGAAAATTACGTCATTGACATCTCATCCCGGAAGTAAAATCTAACTTGACAACTTCTTTAATATAAGTACGATTTTCATGAAACTTGGCATGTATTTAGACTTGGCTGACCCAACTTCAACGATATCCTTAGAAAATCTCTCACTTATCTTCCCTTGAATAAATTAAGGATCAAAGTTTTAAAAAAATCGAAAAAAAGTAGTTCAGATTGTCTTAATATTCATTTTCTGTACTAGCTAAGTAATTACAGATGCGTACGTATAATATGGAGTTTGTTGATCGAACTGGAAGTGCCACCATTTTGAAACGTGAGAAATCCTTAAGGCTTTTGCGATATTTTACTCACAGGAATGCCTAAAAATCTATCGGAGCAGTATTTTGATTTTGGTCAACTGATTGGTCACCATTTGGAATTGAATATTTAAAACAAAGTGAAAAATCCCCGTTAACGGTCGTGAAAATGAACAAAATAGGCCGTAGTTTGATGAATACCTCTCCTATTTCCGAAATAAATACATTTCTGCACAGCAGGGATCAGGGCCGATTTTTTGATTTTTGAAAATTTCAAAATTACGAATTTCGACTTTGGCCTTTTTCGTGCCGACAAAGTTGTTAACTAGACAATTTATTTCCATGATTTTCTCGCTATATTTAAGCTTATAACTTCGCGAGTTTTTGAGCGATTTTAATAATTATTTTTTTCTTGTTAAAGCCGCTTTATATAACCCATGACATATGACGGGAAGTAACCGTGAATATGAAAGCCTTCATATCTGCCTGGCAGATCTAGTTTAAATTGTTTTTGATATTATGATTAGAATATGATGTTTTGTAGATTCCATTCCCGGTGATTGACCTAAAGGACATACGAAGGCCATTACTACGTATTCGTTTTGGTGCCGTTTTGCACACATTACCCAACTTTTCAAACATAATTTGAAAAAAATCCGTTAAAAACTGTAGCCGCTATTGCGTTAGCAAGTCAATTGTTAATGGACGGATGGGCCGACGGAAATGGCTTATGACACTTAAGCTACACTTAAAGATACATTCCAGCGTACAAACTGGATGATTTGATGATATATTTGGACTAAAAACATATTCAAACTAATTAATTTATCATAATGTTGCTTCAAATCCTTCTCAAAACATTGTAATTGCCAAGGAATACATTGCTATAAAAATCGATCAAAAGAGGTCATGCTTGTGTCACGTGACTTACCTCTCTCAGTCTGGGGAGAATTCATTGTATACACAAGACGATGTTGTCTTTAATAGCTGACTATTTATTACAAATATCCAATCCTAATTAAATTCTCGATTATCCACTGCCCGCGTCTTTTTCCGTGATTTTTATGTCAGAAAGCGTTGTACGTCTAACTCTTCATAAAATTTTATCAACATGTACACCAAGCGCTCAATCTTCGCGTGCAACCTTCGACGTCACGCGTGCATGTATTCCTAATCGTCGGGCTGTCGATTAGGGGAACCCTTACATTTTTGTCCTGTATACGCTTCATGAGTGTTTTTCAGGGAATCCAGTATTTTTCTAGTAAGTTTGGATATCTCTACTTTCCATATTTACCAAAATTGCCATACTTGTATTGGAAATAACCACCCGATAAATACTTTTCTGGTAACCTATCTTTAATTGTGGTTTTACAAAAATTACATAATTGGGATTTCTTCTTATATCACTTTAAACGTGTAATGACACAATATCATTTAGGCTATATTCAATAATAAACATACATTATTATAAAAGTCATGCACAAAACGTTATACATTAGTTGTAAGAAATGTTGTAGAAGGTAGAATTGAACCACCTACGTCATCTAAACTTCCCACCACGTCATTGTTTTCGACATGAGTTAGTTGATCTTTCACAATGCGAGAAGCATTATTATCTCTTTTATGTTGAACAGAATCATCGTCGACATAGGCAAACATTTTCGGACGACGTGGTATCCCATTGGCGCTTTCAACAGCTTCGCCATTATCGAGATTCAGAAAATTCGAGGTTTCGCCATTCTGATTTAAATTAGTTTTCACAACCGAATCATCAGACCAATCACTGATGCCACGCGAGGAACGTTTCTCATATTGATCACACAACACATGGGAATTCGAGGTCCCCTCATCGTTTCGTAAAACTAAAGGAGATTCATGGGGCCCCTTGGTGTCTTTTGGTAAAATTTTCGGTTTAGCGGGTACTGGCGAACCAACACTATTAGCCAATAAAGCGTCATAGTTAATATGGGCCACAAAATCGATTAGCGGAGTATCGTTGTTGCCGCTTTGAATCCCGTCATTACATCTGTTGGAACATTTACTTGTTGAGGAACTGTTATCCATATCAGTGTGTCCCTCTTGAACGATTTTTTCATCGCTTTGACAACATAATTTTGCATCCTCCACTCTTTCATTTTGGTATGAAAAAAACACATTGCCGACTGAAGAGTTCTGCGATTTGTTGTCGTTATTCTCGCAAACATGGTTCTCTTTCCTACTTATATGTCCCTTAGACATCTGACTGTCTGCTATTTTCTCACAGTTTTGAAAATAATCACCACCAGAATCATCGGAATTTGATGTCTCGTCAAGGAAAAACAATGCCTTCCCATTAGTTTGACAACGTTTAAATATTGGACAGGGCCCATGACGATGAATAGATAGAAGTTTACTTGGTTTTCTGGGTTCAACCACGGAGACTGGTAATTCCTTTTTAGGTTCAGCTTCTAATTTTATCGCATTGGCCTCTTTACCTTTCTTCAACAAGATCTCGCCTTGGGTTAATTTTGTGTTCAAAGCGTTTTGGTTTTGCAAATGTTGAAGTATATCAAGAGGCGTAAATCCGATGTCAATCGTCCTACGACATCGTCGTATATGGAAAGTTCTTTCCTCGCCTAAATTTCTTTCAATGATGCTATGTTTATTAACATTTCTCCAGAAGTCAACCCTTACGCTTTCAGGCATAACTGGACCCTTTCTCTTTTCCCCACTCTTTCCAGCAGTGCTTATGGGTCGGAGACGTGGATTAGGAGATCTCCTCTGTAGGATTCTGACAATATCCAGCTCTTTTCCAGGAAGACTTGTCATATGGTTAATTCTATCATGTGCAGGGGCGCTACTGTGTTTTTGCTGTGATTCTCGGTACTTCGACTGCTTCAATGATGCTCGCTGTTTATAGTTCGCCAGCGGATTGAGATACACAAACTGGTTAGGCGGGTTTTCCGGCAGGGTAAGGTGACCTCCCTGAAGCTGAAGTTGCTGCTGGCGTCGCACAGTAGCCGAATTAAGCGCCTGCTTTCGACAACTGTAACTCTTGGGATTTTCATCTTGTCTTGACCAGAAAAAAGTGGTCTTTGCCCTGTCATCTTTTGTAATAAATCCAGGAACAATTCCGGGTGACTTTGGGTCTATCGGTGCGGTTAGAATGTTACAGATTTTAGGATGTAGTTTGGTCCTCATTCGTTTAAGTCCTTCATCTTTGCATTTATTTGATGATTGTGTGATTTCCGTCAAAACTTCGAGGATGTTCGGAAGACATTCATGTGAGAGATAGCGCTCTTCCCCAACTTCGTTAGTTTCCGATGATCTGCTATAAAAGTCCACGAAGCTTCTGTCGCGTCTCCAGACATGCTTGCAAAATGGCCGCAACTCCACTACAGGTAATGTGTCGTTGGCGGAGTCCTGCATATTCTACGTACGTTTTAATCGCGCTTCAGTATGGTGGTTATTTTTGCGTCATTCGAATTCTCTGTAAGTGGTTTTGACATAATGTAGCATTTATGGTGCTTAATGTCGACCTGTACAAGTAAGTAAAGTAAATATACGGTTAAATGTCTGATAAATAGCCCATTCAGGTCTAAAAGCCAATAACGTTATACCGTGCCATGTAAGATAATACCTATTCAGGATTTTAGCTGGATTTAAAGCGTGACATGTACTAGCTATTCAAATACTGGTATCGACACGCTACCCCCTTTATGTAGGTGCATATTATTTCTTTGGCATATCTCTTGTTAAACCCACAGTTAGTTTCCCTGTAATAGAAAAAAAATGTAAAAAATAATAGTAAAATTTATATATTTCTAGTTATTATCTTTGATTACTGGCTATATGTTACAGTAATCTTTACGAGGATAACTTACTTTCAAAATCGTTGACCATCTAAACTTTAAATATAACAATATGCAAATATGCTTATGCTTAGTAAACTTTTTGTCTGATAACATGGTAATACTACACTGCTAAAATTATTATGTATTTTTACCCCTTTTTAACTGGCAGAAATATTGCCATCGTTATAACTGTATTTAACATTGCATGTTATTTCACAGTCTGTAATGTAACTTTACCTCTAGTTATTATACATCCAAGGTAAAATCACATATCTGTAAATGGAATACATGTAAAATTACCATGATGTTAATTTACATAAATTGGTACAAAAACATTAAAACCCCCCAAACATGTTGTGTATTTTGACAGAGTTTATGTAATAATACTTCATAACTATTGTAGAATTACATATTATGTAATTTGCAACGTAAAATTTCTAAAAGGAATGTGTCCTAGGTTCGATCCGGGCGAACATAGAAAGTTTTGCGGACCTTTCAGACGAGTCGAGCATGTGAAATAAGATTCGATAATGTAAAGAAATTAAATGAAATGGGGTTTAATGTCCCACTGTTCTGCTCCTTACAGTACAGTAGGTGGCATGACAATTGACACAGTCCAAGCAAAATGTCCCACACAACCCAATGTATGGCACATGCCTGTCTTTATAAGCCAGTTCGGTGCATTCAGATTTTGAATAGTCTATTTCTCTAAAATGGATCGACTAAACTGACTGACAGAACACTAAATATTTGATATGTGGTCAAAGGGGAATAACCGATGTGACCACTATTTGACAATAAATTTACAATTTTCTGTAAAAATAATATTCCAAATGGCATTTCTGTTAATATACAGCTCACATAATGTAAACTGACATATGGTTGTATTACTACATTCATTTTGATGTAATCTTACATAAGCCATGTATTCATATGCACTTACATCGTTTTAAATGTAAGTTAACAAACCATGTGATTTAACAAATCCGACAAATACTTATAACTGTAAATATACATATAATTTTAACAGTGTAAGTCAACCACAAATAATTTATATTAGTTTAATCTTTATATATACGCTGACTATGTTCTGAATAAAGTGGATCTTGAATCGTCTATCAGAAACCATCGCCACGGATCTTGGGGTTGTGCACCGACTAAACATAAAAGAACACCCGCCTCAACCATAAAAACCTATTACAAAATTGTTAATATACATTTCCAACATTCTGATATTGAAAACAATCAAGCGTAGTTTATGTAAATATGCTAGTCAAACTTTAACCCATATAGGTGGGGGGGGGGGGGGGGCGGCTTGTTTTACAGTGGTTTATATAAACTAACATATAAGCGAATAAAGGCAGAACAAAGGTTATCTATATAATAATACGTCTCACAATTCGATCACTCCGTGATTTAAAATCCGATTTGATTTTTTAAAGAAAAATTAATCACCTTTCTTTAAAGTCAAGATGTCTAGATTCTGATAACACTGATTTGATGTCTGCCCAGTGGTTCACTTTTCAAAATTTCTTTGAATTGATAAAATAAATATTTGGCTTATTAGTATACCATTCCATGGGTCACAGATGCGCGACATATGAGATGCCAGTGGCCGGGAGAATGGGGAGGGTAACCAATGTTATATTGGGTTTATTTTTCTAAATTTCATTGAATTGGTAAATATTTGGTTCATTATTTTTTCAGTGCGATCAAAATTGTCAATTTACTCAAGGCTTCCTCCCTAGCGTGGTTTAGTAAGTAAGGCACTTTCCTTAAAGTCGATATTCTGATAAGATGTCTGCTCATTGGCGTGGTGGCGGGAAGAAGAAGAAGAGGGGGCGGGGCTCCAGTGTAATATTTGAGTTTACTTTTCAAAATTTCATTGAATTGATAAAATAAATATTTGGTTCATTAGTAAATTATTCCAACGGTCACAGATGCGGGACATATGAGATTCCAGTGGCCGGGAGAAGGGAGAGGATCACCAATGTTATATTGGGTTTATTTTTCAAAATTTTATTGAATTGATAAATATTTGGTTCATTATTATTCGAGGAGTGACGAAGACGCGATTAGGAGATTTCAGTGCGATCAAAACTATAAATTTACTCAAGGCCTCCTCCCTATAGTGGTTTAGTAAGTAAGGCACTGGTTCGCCAACCAGAGGGCCCGGATTTGATCCTGGTATTTTCCGTAACAGTTTCTCGGGATTTCCAAGCTCTGTTTCCCCCTTGTCCTCGAATGGCTTGAAAAATCTAGGTCCCATAGTAAACGTTGGCATACTCGCGGTGGTCATATTTCTATCTATAATAAATGTATCGTGTTTCTATCTATAATAAATTTATAAGGTAAAAACTCATTATTAAAGGAGTTAATAATTATGAGGCTCAAAAGGTACATTTGGTGGCCATTTTGAATTTATGTAAATTATGCCTATTCCCCGGCCCGAAAATCACGTAACTTTGGATATGTTGTAGAGGATGATCCCACGAACACAACGATATCAAGAAACCTGCTGCCATTTGTTCTAGGTTTTCCTAAATTTAACGTAGATTAACTGGACTATATGGATATAACTGAAAACAGTTTCACAGCCAACAAGGATCTCCATACCCCCAGTTGGTTTACTCGCGGCCTTCCGACTTACTGTCATTTGGTTTGACGCTTCCTGTGGCAGGTATTAAACCCCACTGATGTGTTGTTACAAAATCTTGCCCCTTGCCGCGATAGTATTTTGAGTTTGGATTTCAAAATTAAGTAAAATAGTATATAAAAACAGCACAGACCAATGATACTTGTAATCACATCCTAACATATGCCCGGCATCTTTCACGACAAGGAAAGAAATAAAACATCCAGTAACCTTACCAAAACTGAGGTCCATTATGCACAAATATTTAATCCAAAGAATATCGATGTGTTGAACCTTATTTCTCCGACCCTGTCTTTGTGGTGATTAAGTATAAATGGGTAGAGGAAGATATGGTAGTTTTCGGTTGTCGATTTCATATGTTAAAATCAGATTAGAAACAAACGAGTTAACAAGGCGATTAATATGCCTGGTTGAACAACTATGTGAAAGATATGTTTAATCCGTCATACTAGAGCCAGATCTATTTGCGTTATTAATACACGCTATCACGGGTAGATTAGACTCGTAACGAGCATAGCAACCACATGAAACAAAATTACACTGTCATAATTCTATTGTTAAAAAATGATCGTGAATCATAAACCTATAATATTTATAAAGGCAGATAATGTAAATGTGTATAATATATATTGTTAGTCACCTTACTATCATCGTGATCGTCATTGTTCTCTAATTAGATCGTACCTTTGAACTTGATTAAAACTTACCAACCAATAAAATAACAGTCTACGGCGCAATGAAAATGCACCACTTTTATAAATGGATGGTTGCAAATCTCGTTTGAGATATTCGCTTTAACCTTGCAATTCTGAATGAAACAATATCAGATCACGGCGATTTATGTTTTTACGATCGCGTAAGCGGAGTACAGATCAATGCTGACGGATTTCACTGGTAACCTGTTGCCTTTACTTGACGTCGCTTCCCTTAACAATGAAGAATTTCAACATAGATCCTGAATTATAGAAGTAGATTTTACCCAAAACAAAATACAGAGAGTACAGTGTTTGACAGAATAACGTAACAATGAAATATACTTTGTATGGATATCTAAAAATATCCAATTAAAGGAGAAGCACCGGTTTCCATGGGGTATCAGTTGATAGAAGTTTAAAGGAGCTAAATCGCTAATATTTGGGACCTAGAAATTGACGCAAATGGGCCGAAACGCATATAATGATATAATAAGTATAGAAATTAACATAAATGGATCGTAATGTAAATAATGTAATATGAATGTATATAAACAGAATTACATTTAATCGTTTCCGTTTTGACTCTAATTTCAAATCAGTTATGTTCGGCGAAATATGTCAGAAGTCTCAATCGAATGGCAATCTCTAGCGTCTGGTTATTCTCGTCTACATCGATAGTATTTATTACGCATGCTCTCCAGATAAGAATTGGTCTGCGATATCACTTGGGTTGTAGCGGACGTAAAATACAACTAACTCAAACACAGATAAGAATATGGCGTCAAATGAAATGAAATGCGATGGGGTTTAACGTCCTACTGTTGAATATGTCGTCACCGTTTGACACGACTTGTTGAATATGTCAAGCCTCGTTCTTCGAGTCCCTTGTTACAAATGGCACTGAAACGCATTATGGTACACGATTCATGTACCAATGGTGATATGATTATTTTGTTTTAAATATCGGATATTAGAAGCCCATCCTTTTCCGGTAAGATCACAACATCAATGTTGATTTAAATCGACAAATAATCCGTGTTTTCAATATCGAAGACTTTGGATGATATCGAGTTAGAGACTTAGCTACTTTAATTTAAAAAGCCTATAACGACAATAACTGTAATATATTTGATCACAACATATATATTGTTACGAAACAGTCACCACTACACGGCTGAGAGAACCAAATAAGATTGACAAATCCTGATATTGGGTATACACTAGAAAATTCAACTGCCGAATAACACTATCCAAACATAGACGTTAAATAACTTTAAAAATTTACAAATATAGCCTTCAGTTTAGCAATACACAACAAGGCATGATTTTATGGGAACTACTATACAATATTCTGAATGCCAAAATACTAAATTTAGGAACAATAAATTTGGAAGCAAGTGACTGGGAATTTGATCATCCCCCATTTTCCTCTTTGAGTATGACAGGCGTGCAATGTTCTTATGCGAAACAGATTCTTCAATGGGTGTTGTAATAATTCAAATCCTGGTTGTGAAGCAATTTGTCTTTGTATTTAATGCGGTCTCCTTTATTTTTGCCTTGGTGCCGACAGT